ACACGTATGCCAGCAAGGCATTCACAGAACGCATCAATGCGGGTCACCCATCCTTGAAACACTCTGTGGTCACAAACACCCAACGCTCAATTCGTGCCAGCCGAACTGTGTAAACAATTGAAATCGTCGTATTCAATCGTTTTTTGAAAGCATTTTGCTAGTTGCTTTATATAGAACGCTGTGATAAGTAATTTGAAATTTTTATTTTGAAAATGTTACGTGTTGTGTCAAATTCCTAATTTAATAAGGCTAATGGTATTTCTGATCAATTTAAAAGGACATCGACAGCATTGCTCTTGATGTGGACACCATTGTTACATTTAGTTCGTCAAAGCTTTCTCTATGCAAGACATACTATGCATCCGTCCGTCGTGGAGAAGGAGCTGTTGTATCAAAAGTTGAAAATCTTATATTTGGTATGTATTACTCAAAAGTGGCCCACGTAAGCTCAACTTCTACTATTAAAGTATTTCATGTCGCATTCGCGGAAGCTCTATAAGCATGCCAGTGTGATGAATTTATTGCGAGCTGCGCATCAAAAAAAGAGTTTCTGACTGCTAGGTAGCGTCGTGGTACTCGAGGTGCTGCACGCACGATGTATCAAATATTCACGTCATTCGTTTCTATTCCGTGCGGGAAAATGTCGTGGCTCGATGAGAGCAGCAAAAAAAATGAATTTTATTGTAACTTATGGTTATAAGTCCCAGAGCAAAATGGTCACTTCTTTTTCGGAGGTTTTTGGTTGCAGATTTACTGGTCGTTGATATAAAGGTCAATCTTTGAGTTTTTATTTAGGGCCTGACGGACCGGACCGTAGGGCGTCATGCATCCATATGTGACACAAATGTTAAACAAACAGAAATATGCGATCGAGGACGGTCTATCAAATACTATCTCTATGCGTTCTGCAACCGGGTGACTTACTCAAAGTGTCACATTGCGATAAAATTTCACAATTTAGCAGAGCAGAGATACAATATTCTCCAAACTTTGATTTGAGATACGATCTCATTCTAGGGATGGCTTGGCAGGAACGTCATGAGCCGTTGGGACACTTAGAGTAATAGCCGGTAGAGCTTCGGTGAGCCATGAGGTCAGCTATACCAGAGGACAGAAGCGCTTTGGTTTAGGTTCAAAGCCACGACAAGACCTGACTGCATCCATCATAACTAAAAATGATATTGTTAGGAGTCTGAAGCAAAGCTCGAGAGACAAGGGCAGTTTCGAGCCGCATTCTCCGGAATCAGCTTTGCTAAAATATGGGAAGACCATTGTGTATTGCGAATTGCTTTGATTTTTTTGCCAAGACAGCTGTAAGTGATCAATGGTCACGGTTCAGAGATAATCCCCGTCGAGGCAGATGTGATCAACTTTGAGTTGAGGTCTTAGGCGGTTATTCCTGTTGAGACGCTGGCTCGGCTGAAAGCCACGGTCTTGATAGCAAATTTTGAAGATATAAATGATGTGAGTCGCGAGGTGTCACGAAAAATAACACATCCATGGTACGGCAAAACAGTAGCAGCATGAAGCAAGTGTTCATCCGTGCAAAGGATCGTAGCTTGTCGAAGTTGTCCCAACCAAATTAAGTACACTGATTAGAGTGACTGCGGTAGTTCAAGGGCATATTACTACCAAGTGCATCTTTGGCACAGAAGAGACGTGGCAGGATTGTCATTAGTAGGGCATATCACTATATGAATTAGGTTCTGCTATATTACTTAGGTATTACTATATTAATTGGGAAAATCTATAATTTTAGAGATTGGCGGCTCTGATGCGACTAGAACAAATAAATACATTTTGAATATGAACCGAAGTGTTCATTTGCCTCGGTTAATAGTTTTTGAAGGTAGCGGGTTGCGATCTGCTTCACTCGTACTGATTCTTGAAAAGAACGTAAGGTTAGTGACCTTAGCTTAGCTTCCTCTAAGCAATGAGCTACGGCGGATCCGCCGCACTTGGTAGCACTTCTCAATCTACGCTTTAATCGCGACGACTGATCCTCTGTGAGGAAGGATTACTCCTATACGCCCCATGGCATGCAGGACGGGCTTAATAAGCTGGTGTTCCTGCTGGACCCTGAGGGCGTGGAGCGCCTCGCTGCACAAGGGCTCGAGGCCATAAGCGCGAGCCTAGAGGCGTTTCTAGGTTAGTTAAATGCTCTGTTTCAGCACTCACAGCAGAAACTGTTAGCGTCTATGACGCCACCGTCGACGACGGATGATTCATTCCGACCGAGGCTGCTCATGGTGAGCATTGAGATCTTCGAGGGTGAAGATGGAGAGAACCTCCTGCTCTGGATAAGAGAAGCTCAGATGACTATGGTATCAGCCATGCGTTCCCCTGCTGGGCGGAACTAATGCTGTAGCCCTCACGAGTGTTCTCGCCGCCTAAACGGGTATATCGCGTGCGATTACGGTACATTGCTGTCCGACTGGGAGAACTTTCATTGCCGGATGGCAGCAGATCCGTTCCCCGAGGCGGTCGCGGTGACCGTCTGTATGGAGGGCCTCCGCACTGGCGTGGTCAAAATGGAAATCTTCCGTGTGCTTCCGTCTTCTTTTGCAGAAGCGATGACCGTGGCATTGAATTCCGGACTCAGCTTCAGGTCTACTAGACTTGATTGAAATTAACACCATCAGAGCTTGTCGAGTGGGCCTGAGCCAATGGATCTCAGCTATTCTGAGAAGGAGGAGGGAATAAAAGCTCCAGCTGCTGAGCAGCGTGTAAGAACCCGACTGTGTTTTGTTTGTGGAGACACCCATCACCTTCAGACGGGTTGTCGCTTGCGCAAGACACGAAAAGGTTCGTCGATACGACGTTTCGCTTGTAACCAGTCAGGTTCGTCGCGGGGAAAGGAACAAAAGCGCGGGGCGGCCTACTGGTAAGAAACTGAGTTCTGTTGTGCCTCAAAGAGGAAGAGGGCAGCAGAGCCCAGCCCTGGAAGAGCTTCGTGCTCTTGAACACGGAACGTGTGTGCAATCTAAGCTTGCTTGTCATAAAAGCGACCGTAAAGGACTTTGAGAAGCCATGGAAAATCCTTATCGATTCAGGGGCGTCAAGCAATTATGCTCGACGCTTTATGATCGAGAGATGTCAGCTATGTGCTGAGGCGTTGGAAGCGCGGTTAAGTGGTACCATCACTGTTTACTTCGCGATGGGGACTTGTGTCACTGTGTCGAGGGTCCCTGTGGACCTTGGTGTCAAGTTCCTTGACTTTGATAGGGTGGAACGCTGTCTAGTCTTAGACTTAAATGCGGGGTATGACCTTGTCTTTGGTATGGCATGGTTGGAACACCATGGCTGATTAGAGGCCGAAGATCTTGGGCGCTACGAGCCCTCTCTAGTGGAGCTTTCGTGAGTCATGGACCCACCTCGGCTAGACAGCAGAGCGCTTTTGGCGCGGGCACTGAACCGGGACGGTCAATGTGCTGGATATCGGAGTATACAAGTAATTGAACACCAAAGCTGTTGTGAACAGGAGTCCCGAGCGTGGATCGAGGGGTGAACGTGGAGTGGCGCGCAACCCACTGAGCGCTGCTCGAGTATTGGAGCAGTCGCTGCATGCCAAGAGTAGCACGGTCGGCCAGAGGCCGAGGCATCAAAAACGAGACCCTTGTGATGCACATGGAGTGGCACGTATCCCACTGAGCACTGCTCACGTTACGAAGCAGTTTCTGCGTGCTAAGAGTGGCATGGTCGGGCGAGGTCTGAGACATTCTGGCAAAGGATCTTCTGATGCGCGTGGAGTGGCACGTTATCCACTGAACGAAGACTGACGAGATAGCAGCTCTTCGTCAGGTGTTGTTAATAACATCAAGGCTCCTATGGAGCAGGGAGTGGGGACACTGGACGACGCCGAGTGCGTGTTCCCACTGGTCTCGATAGAATGTAAAACTTCTATAGAAAGTAGACGGCCAAGTTGTATGTTATCTACAAGACGCACGGCGTCGACTCTGACCCAGGGTGTGTCTACCGTAGACGATAGCAGCTATATACCCCTGTCAGCGGGTGTGACGAGAGAGGAAAACGGCGAAGTCACCCTCGAGGCTACACCTGCTGGACGAGATGTCCTTTGAAGCGTTTAGTGGTGCCTTGAAGGCAGGCAAATTAGCTGATGTGGTCATTATACGATTAACTCGTCGTCGCTTCTGGATGAAGCAGTCCTGGAGGACACTAAGGGGGTGCTGACCGCACGAAGTGGATCGTCGATCATGAAGGATCCCTCGGATCCGTACTATTATTCTTTGGTGTAGAGATTTCAAAACGTCGTCTCCGAAGGCCCGCCGTCAGCCGGATCGTGGTGTGCGTCATAAAATTGACCTGGTTCCAGGAACTAAATACAGCGTAACACGCCAATGCCCCCTGCCCGAAGAGCAGTGTGACGTCATTGACGCCTTTTTCCGTGCGAAGCAGGTGTGAGCAAGTCTCACCGTTCGACACCCACGTTTTGTCTCCGGAAGCCGAATGGCAAGTGGCGTATCGTTCTTGCTTATAATAAGCTGACGCTGCCACCATTCCGGCAGAAACGCCGAATCCTAGAATGGATGTTCTCCAGAGCAATATGGTTGGCTGTACAGAGTACAGCGCACTTGACTTGGTCGATGATAATTCCCAATTGTTCATTTATAGCGATATTCCGCTGACAGCGGTGCGCGCTTCGAGCGGGATGCTCTGGGAGTGGAAGGTGGTGATCCAAGTGCTGTCAATGCACCAGCAACATTTAATCAGCTTTTGACGTAGTTGTTCAGGCCTCATCGGGCGTATGCACAGAAATACTTCGAGGACAGTCGTGCGGGACACGGGAGGACATATGTGGAAATCCACATCGTCCATTAAAAGCCATAAAAGCAGAATGCTTTGGCCAATGCGTTGTCACGCAGACCGGACTATGGGCTTGCTCATATCACGACGGTGACGTCTTCAGTGAAGAATTTGATCCGCGCCGCATACGCGGGTGACAGTATGTATGAGGCGCTGCTACAGGCTCTCGGGGGCAAGGAGTTTAGAAACTTGGACAAGAAGTTGTCAGCGCGTTTGCGCGCACGGTTATACCGATATTCGCTGAGTAACAAATTGCTATATTATAGCAGCGATTCAACGGACACGACACGAATTGTGGTTCCTCACGATGAGGATTTGAAGTAATATATTCTCTAAGAGGCCCACGACACCCCACTTAGTGGTCATCTCGGTCGTGGGAGACGTATAGCTCGATGAGTTGCCAATATTGGTGGCCCAAGCAGTACAAGTGGACGAGCACATAATTGCGCACGAGTGAGACGTGTCAGAGGGTGCAACTCTCTCCGAATGCGGCGGCGCCGCTGGTCAGTCTTACGGTCCCTCCGGGTGCTGGCGGTCCATGGGTATGTACTTTGTGCATGGCCTACCGAAAGACTCGGCGGGTAACACGGGTGTGGTGGCCTTTGTGGACTCTTTGAATAAGATGGCTCATCTTGCGGCGGATCCAGACAACATTTACGGTGTGAGTACAGCAACACTGTTTGTCCATCGTGTCTTCGACAACATGGTCTCCTAGAGTCAGTAATCTCTGATGAAGACCCGCGCTTCACTCGGAAGTTTTGGTCTACTCTCTTCGGGGTGCTGGGTACCAAGCTGCCTATGTCAACAGCGGACCATCCGCGAGCTGATGGTTAGCTTGAGTGTGTGAAGACGTTTTGTGAAGCGCTGGAGCGCTATCTTGCCACCCATCTAGTTTGCACTGAACAATGCAGTGCATCCATCAACCGGCTACACCCGGTTCTACGTAAATGGGCTTGGTAACTAGCGTCCCGCTGACGCGGCTCAAGGCTTGGTGAGGGAGAGCCGAACGGCTAGCTGATGTCAGCTCCTTTACTGCGCGTAAAGAAGTCGAAGACGTCCTGACTGCCAGACTGGGTGTCTTGCGACACATTCCGATGCGATTGCTGAAAGCCAAAACATGCAGAAAGAATATGCAGACGTAAGAGAATGAAGAAGTGTTGAAAACATTGAGGGTAGTTTTTGCTGTCTCTAAGACGAAGCTCCGCTCATGCTTTTAAGGTGTGGCAAGCGGGGCCTTGTGTATACGCTGAACCTTCCACGAAGGGGGCGCACCCACCCGGTGTTTTATGTGGGCTTACTCAAGCTGTACCGGGATCCGGTGCAAGTGAACTCGGAAGCGTTGGGGCCGGGGAGGCGTCAAAAGGCGCTTGGCCACCCGAGCGTTGAGCCAGCAACTGGTTCTGAGCACAGAGTGCAACAATTTCCGAACGGCGCAAGGCACTCCACCGTCTCACAAGATAACGTATTCGCCTGCTCGACGGGTAGGATCCGCTCCGACAGAGCACGATAATCGATTATCCTCAACGGTGCACAAAGTGCTCCAGACTCTCAAGGTCTTCCGCACAGCGGTTGGCGACCCCGAACTGATGCTCGGCAGAGTGCCGATGACGATGGGCTTCGTCTCCCAACGCTCGAACAGCATCGCGAGTCACCGGACGGCGGTCTACCAAGTCATCATCATCCGCCGCCGACTCTTCTCGATGAGAATATTGGCGTGGGACGCCTTGTGGGTCGACGTCGTCGACGGAATTTAACCCAATATCTTGTGAAGTGGCGGGAATACCCAAGCTCCGGGAACTCGCAGGGGTTTGATGTGCCACTTCGGCAAGACTGTCCAAACGGCGTGGACGTTCATGATCAAAAGAATCATGACGCTTCGAGTCGGCGTGCGCACCGCGCTTCTCGGAAGTAGCCCGGGAAGACGGAGGGTCATATACTGAGCTCATGATATGGTCTTGAGCTGCTGTGGTAGTAGGCTCACCTGTGTGAGAAACCACACAACTCGCGGGAGCGCTGTAGATTGTTCCATATGTCGCAAGGACGACAATACACAGGATGTCGACGTTGCGCCTTGAGTTTGGAAAACTGAAATTTGAGATGGCGCTCACCGTGCATGTCCACTTCTTGTGGCTTCGCAGTAAGGTCGATAGCAAAAAAACATTTCGATGCCGCTGCACCCATCGCTCAAAGAGCTCATCGACATCTGCAGCGGTTTCGCCAGGGGCGAGGATCACAGGGATGGTCCGCGTCGCGGGGACAGGAGCACATCCTTTCTGGGCACCAATCCATTGGGGTCTCTTGCGGTACCAAAACGTAAACTCGCAGAGTTTTTCGCTGGGCAATCTCAGCTTGTGAAATGGCCGGAGGCCCGACTACGTAGAAGCCTAACGATCGAGTGATTGCGTCTTTCACTTCTGTAGCGCGATCCGCCGAGCGGGAGCCGTATTCCACACAAGGGTCTTAGACCGAATGTGGATACGAGCGCAGGAGAGCCGCCCTGTGAGCAGCCTTCAATTGCTGCTCCTGTGCCTCGTCGATACGATTGGTAATAATACCACTTCCCCCAGAAGCCGAGAGGTCTAGGAACAGACACGGTGTTCGCAAGTTTGAGCTGGGCTCACGTCGCGCCGTTGGCGCACTTCATCTTCCTCGTCATCTCATGCTGGGAAAGGAGTGTCCGACTCGTAGTCTTATCATGGGCAATTCGTTTTTTGCACAACGTAAGACTTTCGTAACTCAGTAACTTACCAAGCTATATTCAAAGGGACAGACATTTGTAGAGCGCTATTTGGCGCGGTGCATTTTTTATGAGCATTTACTACACCAGTAGCAGCTGTTTTCATTTTGAGTTTTGTGCCTAGCCTCTCTGCGAGAATGAGTTGTTTTTTGAACGGCATTCTTTCTAAACGTAGGACGTGCTCTCAAACCTTACGCTGGGTTTATTTTAGTTTCAGTCTTCGGGCATTTTTTCTACGTGCTCTCAAACCTTATGCTGGGGTTATTTTAGTGTAAGTATTTGAACAAGAATGACTTGCAACCCAAATAAGCAAAGATGGACTAAGATTAGGAAACCTACAAGGTTTCTGGCCTAGACATGACCTGGATGGTTTCTGAGGTGGATGCTTTTTGATATTAAGAAGCTGGCGGGATACGCGCCATGCTGCTGGTACACACTAAAATACTGTCCATTGAACTGAGGGCGTTGCTCATTTCGACCTAATGATGCACCATGCTAATGTACTATTATTAGGTCCAGGTATGATATTGAAAAAGCTGGTACCTAGTCTGTCGGATATGTGGGCTTCTAGCCTTACTCAATGCGCAGAGCCAGAATTTATTATCACTGTCGGTAAAATATATCATTACAGCTAGTTACCGTGAAAAAAAAGACTTTCAAAAATCAAGTCAAAAGTACCATGTACTTTCAAGGAGGCTGAGTGTTGCGGCCTAAAGATGACCAAAAAATTAATCCCCTGTGCGTCAGCTAATTCAATGTCTACAAATAAAAAATCTGCTTTGCTTACTTTACGGCAGTCTCGATGTACTCGCTGTCATCGTAGAGATCGCTAATGAGTTATTGCACTTGCTCGCCAAGCATTTACTGTGCTTCTTGAGGAACACATCAATACTCTATTAGTTCCAATTCTTGATCTTCAAAGAAACCAGGTTCATCAGTATATGTCAACCTGTGGCGCGTCAGCTCACCCACCCATCGCGGTGGGCTCAACCATAATGCACTGACGAGAAATTGTACGCCAAGGTATTGCATGAAAAAGTCGATTGTACAATTTTTGGCCCTTTCACGTCGTGCATGTATGTCTTTAGCATCCAGTCGAATTCGAGTGACAATATTTTCATATGCAACGTGCTAGTATGAAGAAGTTTTCGGTAGTCCAATGCCATTATCGCAGTCGACGGAATCCAATCTAGTCGACTACCAGCTATCGAGATATATAATCACAATGCGACAGTCATAGCAGCAGGGCCAGTTTTTCGCAGAGCAAATCTTCAAGCTTGTCACGTATACTTGTGGTGCTAAATGATCACCAAATCTCCTCAAACGCGAATTTCTTGGTGCCAACGATAACAATGTTGCCTTATACTAAGAAAAGCGTCATCGAATTATCGTCACCAGATGAATTGAACCTGTTCCAGCTAACGACATTACTTTGAATAGTGCCTTGAACAATTCAAAAAATCATCACTCAATGTAGGAGTTGATGACACCTGGCATTAATTTCTCCCAACAGCGATGGTCGTATGAATTATTGGCGCGTTGAGCTGCCAGTCAAGTGGTAATGGGACACAAAAGATATGATTCAGTCACGGCTTGCTGTTAGTTTGACGTTGAGCATTGACACTGCGCTTGTAAAGCTTAACCACAGAATGAAGCCTTTTACTTTTACTTTGACTTTGCCAGGATTGTTCTTCCTCGTATGAGTCTGTCATATGATGGCGTCAACCAAACTTTAAACTGATAAGAAACAACGCCAAAGATTTTGTACTCAAAGATTATAAACAAGGTCACATGTAAGCTCCACGCAGCAAATGAAAGATAGAATGTGCTTGCGGTTCGTGTCGGTGTCGAGTGAATAGTGTAAAAATCAGTGAGTTGAAGTGCTCGTATCATCTGATTGGTTGGAGAGATCAAGATTCTAAAAATCTGGAAGTAAAGATCAACATGGAGCACTCACACTCTCACTCGCATGACCATGACCATGACTTCAGTCACTCGCACAATCACAGCCATATTGATGACTTGATTCAAAACTTTACTCGAAGCCACGGCCGCGCACCAACGCTCGATGAGGAGAATCATTTGCGTGAACATGGCCATACGCACGAGCATTTGGAGCACGCTGGTATCTTTCACGAGCGCGACACAGCTAAGTCTGATCGGGACTGGGTGCAACGAGCCTTTACTGTGGGTATTGGAGGCCCCGTTGGCAGCGGCAAGACTGCGCTTATGCTAGCGCTATGCCGTGCGCTCAAGGACAAGTTTAGCCTTGCCGCGGTGACTAACGACATCTTTACACGAGAGGACAGTGAATTCCTTGTACGACACGATGCGCTACCAAAAGAACGAATTCGTGCTATTGAAACGGGTGGATGTCCACACGCGGCCATTCGAGAGGATATTTCCGCCAATTTACAGGCATGTGAGGACCTGACTGAAGAATTTCATCCGCAATTGCTGCTTGTCGAGTCTGGAGGAGGTGCAGAGTCGAATTTGCTTACTGGTCATCTGATGTCAAAAGACTGACTTCTGGCTTGTGTAACAGATAATTTGGCTGCTAACTTCAGTCGCGAGCTCGCTGACTATATCATCTACGTCATTGACGTGGCAGGAGGCGATAAAGTGCCTCGTAAGGGTGGTCCCGGTATCACACAAGCGGATCTGTTGGTTATCAATAAGACTGACCTGGCTCCGCACGTTGGTGCAGACCTCGACGTCATGGCCCGTGACGCAAAGCTTATGCGTGGGGATGGACCAACAGTATTTTCGCAGATAAATCAAGACAAGGGTGTTCAGGACATAATTGAGCATATGATCAAAACATGGAAAGCACTCATGTAGTCCACCATTTCACGATATAAACAATCGCGGAGTTTGTGCTTATACAACTTCGTTGTATATCTTTCGTGGGGCTAAAGGGTTGGTGTGCTTGTTGGTCTAACGAACGTATTGAACGCTCAAATCCTTTCGTAGGGAAGAATTTGAATACTGCGCTTGCTAACTTGCATAGAACGAATTGAACGTATTGAATCGGCACTGATTGTATCGGCTTCTCAGCAGATATCAAGTCATTTGTTGAACACATCTACGTCAATAATTCTCAACAATTTCACTGTGATCATAATAACGTGTTCGGCAACCCAAGCCGCTACTACTTTAAGATTTGTCGACTCAAGTCATGACTAAATGAAACAATTACCGTTACCAGCTCACCATTATATTCGGAGCTTATCGAAGGTCTATAGCATTGGTGTGCCTACGAAAACGCTTCGTGAATGCGAGCATCATCGATTCCAGCTTGGTGTCGTACAGCAGTAGTCTGCAGAAACTTGTATGCCATTTAAAATGTATTCTGACAGTTCTGCTAAAGGATCTGATTTATGACTATGAAGAACAATCATAAAGTATAAATAAATACTCAAAGCTAGAGCATTTTGTAATTAGAATTTGTATATCTCCACCATATTGAGAAAATAGGAACTCAAATTACAGCGAATAGGTTAAATTTCACAGCAAATTTAAATATTTTTTTGAAACATTTGACGGCAAACCATTAAAATGCTTATTGTCAATTTTACTACCTAAATGACCTGCTCGCAATAATGCAATTTGTGATTCGATGTTGTTGATCCTAGACATCCCTTAAGGGGAGCATCAGATATAACAAATTTCCCTTAATGCCGAACTTCACTACTATTTTATCCTCAGACGGTGCGGCTGGCGCGAATCGAGCGTTGTGCATTTGTTACCACGGAGTGTGTTAAAGTCGGATGGCCTGCGTTGATACGC